CTTCTCCTTCTCTAGTCCTTTCCACCACAGAATTTTCTCCTTTGGAAGCCAGAAATAGAAAAGAAATAATCTTTTGTCATCACTATCACTTCTAGACATTACTCATCCTCTTACCTCCTTTAAGATTTATGCCATCCATCTGTACCAAAAGATTCAGATTTTTATTACAATCATTTTCTGGCCTCCAGATTACTTTTCTCCTTTCCAAAGGAATTCAAAAATTGGCTCAGTCTTTCTTTTCAATTCAACCCCTACTCTCATGCTTGTGGACTTCAACATTCATGCAGAAATCCTCTCAAATATCCTGGTTTCCCACAGTTTGTCAACTTCCCAAATTCCTGGGATGTATAGTTTTCCTTTACCTCACATAGATGGTCATATCTTATGTCACCATCACCCATAATGATGTTATCACCATGCTTTTGAACTCTGACGTTATCTCTGATCACAATATCCTATATTCTTCCATTTCTCTTCACCAACATTAAAGCACTATATAAATAATAGTTATATTCTTATTATGCTCTCCTATCTCATTGCAACCTTCAGTACACCTTCACCTCCTCCTGTTTTGCCAGTCTATTACTCCTCCCTTCTGGCCTCAATTTCATTTTTCCCAATCTTTACCATAGGGTTGACCAGTTCAACTACATACTATCCTCTTAACTTGAATTTGTCTCCTTGTCCTGTTGCCATTAATGCCTTGCCAAACCCTAACCCTATCTACCTTCTACATACTCAAATGCTGATGAATCCCTGCTATAAAAGTTCATACAACTCTACTGACTAGGTTCATTACAAATATATGTTATCTAACCTCAGTGTGGCCCTCACTGTTATTTAGCAATGTTTTTATTTTCCCCCGACTAACCATATATCATAATGCCCAAAACATTTATTTCAATTCTTCTCTCAAGACACCTATACTAGTCCCTCTTTCTTAGAATAGGACTTTGCCTCCTACATTATGGAAAAAATAAAGGTCATACAGTATGAGCTTTCATCTTTTAATCTACAACTAAAAACTCTAACTTGTCTCCCATTAATTCCTTTGTTCCATTCTCTAGTGATGTAGTAGCCGTTCCCTGGCCAAGGCTAATCCTTCCATTTGTACCCAAATTCTCTGACAGAGGTTTTTATCTATTAACCTTTTGAAAAAATATATTTGGTAACTATATTTCAATATAACTATTCTGCCTGGTAATCCTATGCATTTTATTTTATGCATTTAAAACCATTGTTCAGAGAAGGGATCCCTAGACTGTAGCAGACTGCCAAAAGAGTTCATAACACAAAAAAGGCCAAGAGCTCTTACTTTAGGTGCCTGTCTCCTCAATTTTTCTCTCCCTTTCTCTCACCTTCAACCTCTCCATACTTCCCTTCTACCTACACATAGGACATTCTCCTCCATCCTTAAAAACAACAACAAACTCTTCACTTGACTCCTGCCATCTCAAGCTAATGATCCTATATCTCTAGTCAAACTTCTAGAAAGTTTTCCACATTCATTACTTCCAATGCCTCATCTCTTACTTATTCCTCAACCCTTTCAGTCTGACTTTCAACTCCACCACTGAACAAAGCATTCTCCACAACGATTGTGTTTGCTCAGGTCTTCTCACTGTTCTTACCTGGATTATTGCAACAGCTCCTTATTTCATCTATGTGCTTTCAATTTCTCCTCATTCCCCAATTTATCACCCACTCAGTTGCCAAGTTAATATTCTTAAAATAAAAATCTGACCATAACGCTTACCTTCTCAGAAATCTTAAGTTGATCCTTTACTGCTTCTAAGCTGAAATATAAACTTCTTAGGTTAGTATTTAAATCTCTCCACAATGTAGCTCTCACAGATCCCTACAGAATTCTATTACTCCCTTTTGCATGTTCTTCAACATGCTATCTCCTGCTTCAGTAGCTTTACAGGTAGAGGCTAACCCTCAACCTCTCCTCCCTCCTCATTTCCACTTTTGAGAATTCCTAGCTTCCTTCACAGCTTACCTCTTATTCAAAAGCTTTCCTGGTCCCCACTGTTAAGTGTTCTCTCACTGTGTGAATATTGCACACACTACCCTTCACCCCCACCCCTTTGTAACTCAAACCTAACAAGGTACTTTATATGTAGAAGACTCTTATTAAATATTTGATGAATTGAGTAAGTTTCTACCTTTACAGAGTTCTTGATTAGTTTTCACAGACAACCAGACCCGAGGGTAATCAAGGAAAGCTACTGATCTATTTAGATAAAAATGGTAGATCTCCTAGATGAAAGCAAAGCAGTAAGTCTTATCTCTAGGTTTTTAATTTTATCCTACATGCCCCATTTATTAACTTGGAAAATGTGATCTACACCTATTAGGCAGGCACGCAGATGGCTTAAAGAGTTGATTATATGTTAACCTTGGGAGGGAAGAATGGCATTGCTGTTCAGGTCTTGGGCTTGACCTTAGCCCTGTCTAATGCATGTTTTTAGACTTTTACATCCAATGTTCTCAGTAGGAAGCAGCAAATGAATTTACAAATGCTAACTGATGTGAGCCTACTAACATAACTATATCGTAGCAGTTACAGAGCTCTAGAGGGAATGAGGCATTTGGTTAGGCTCAAATGATCTACTAGTGGTGTAACCTAATTGTTTTAAAGCGTTTGCTTAAAATTTCAGAGGGCTGGATAGCAGGATCAGATGGGCTGTTTGTTAGGTATCCAGGACATGCAATGAGCCCCTCATTACTATATGGGAAGACAGAAAGTAGTTCTTTTGGAAGTTTAAAGTTCAATGACTTTATTAGGAAGATCAGAAACAAATACAATGAAGTTAGTGGGATCAATGCAAGAGTATTTTGCTTAGATAAAAAAAAAGCTACACCCAACACCTTATAATAATTTACAAAACTGAGTAATAAAAGGAAGAGGAGCAAGCAGCATGTTTTCTAACATACACCAAGAGGCTAGAAAGGCATTTAAAAAGGTACACTTGATGAATCTACATAGGAATCAGGAAGTGGTCAATATTCAGGTTACCTTAAGTATTTATACTCAGGATACTGTACATCAATCTGGAATCAATAACCTAGAGGGATATCTACACCCTTTTTGAAGAAATCCAAAGGAAAGTCAAAGGATTAAGAGGGATGAAGGAAAAGTTAAAGGAACTGGATTTTACCCTCAGAGATGGCTAACAGCAGATTGCTCTTTAATTTAGAGAACACTGGCCCTATAAAGCTAACAGTGATCTTACCTATATTGAGGCAGCTGGTGGTACAGTGGACAGTGCTGGCCCTAGAATCAGGAAGACCTGAGTTCAAATCTAGCCTCAGATACCTACCACCTGTATAAAGGGAAGGGAGAAAGGGAATAAGTATTTATATAGCACCTACTATGTGCCAGCCAGGTACTGTGCTAACTGCTTTAGAAATATTATCCCCATTTTACAGCTGAAGAAATGGAAACAAATAGTTTACATGACTTGCCCAGAATCGAACAGCGAGTAACACTGTCTTCCTAACTTCACGCCCAGTGCCCTCTACACTGGATCACCTTACTGTCTATTTGACACTGGGCAAGTCACCTAACCTGTTTGCCTCAGTTTCCTCAACTATAAAAATGGCACTTACCTCAGAGAGAGGATGTTTTGTAAACAATGCTTACTTAGCACAGTGCCTAGCACACAGTAAGCGCTATATAAATGCTTATTCCCCTGTACTGGTCTCTGTCAAGACTTTCTACTCCTAACTACTCCCTTCTTGTATAGCTTTCCACTTCATTAAGGTTGGGGGAGAAGTCTGCTTAGAGAATTTCTTCTCCAACACTAGCCCAGTAAAAACAGAAAAACCAAATTCCAAATTTCTTTGGACCTTTTCCTTCTCAGAAATAAAGATCTTGAAGAAATTGGGCCCCCATTAAGACACACCCAGACAACTACCAATGCTCTCCAAACAAGCCCCCAGCTCCATTTTCCTCCTCCTCCCCATCTTTCATATTATTATCAGATTGATATTCCCTATGTAAGGCTATAAGCATGTCAGGGCAATGATTAAAAAACCCCTCTTTAATGGGTTCTTCTTGCCTACCAAGTAAGTTCAAGCTCCTCAGCCTGGCAATCAAGTCTAACAAATCTACAGGATCCACCTCCAAAAAATGTTGAACAAGGGCAGCCTCTCCTTTTGACTTTATCACTATGGCCTCAATTGTGTTTGTAAATTCAACTGGCAGACACCTTTTTTATGTGACAGATACAGCACTAAGGGAATCTTGAGTATGTGTAGGACCTCTGTAGATATTTAAAAAAACAAAAGAAATTCTGATCTTTATGGGTTATTAGACTATTGGGTTATTATCACCACCATTATCCCTATACTTGGACTCAAGGAGAAATTTATCTTAGTCTCAAGTACAAGCAAAGCAACTTTATGAAACATAGTTGCCACTCTGAGGTCTTTGAAAAATTTGAGTCACAGTCTATTCCAGGAGTTCAGCTCTTTACATTAAATCTTACCATTTAAACAGTAAAATAAAAAGCCTCAAAAGTGTCAGTACCTTCATGTTTAGAACTAAAGTTCTGGTATTTTAATCACTAGAAGCAAGTGCTAAGGTCTCTTCTAACTCCAAAATTCCTTAAGTCTCAGACCAGTTACATTTCTAAAACCAGAAGGGATGTTAAAGACTTGGCTAAACCTCTTACCCATGCAGGATTCCCTTCCACAACATCTGAGAAGTATTTATTACAGCTTCTGGTTAAATATTTTCCATGATGAGGATCTCCCAACTTCCCAAAGCAGTACATCCCAGTTTTGGATGGCTCTCAGTATCACAGTTTCCTCACACAGAATCAAAATGTGCCTCTCTCAAACTGTCACCCATTAGTTCTAGTTCTGTCCCCTGAAAAGACACAGTTAATTGAATTTTTTCTTCCAGATATCCTTTCAATAGCCTTTTGGAGGCTATTAACTTAGTCCTCCTACCCTCCCACCCCACCCCCAATAAGGAATTGTAGTTCTTCCAACTGAAACTTAAAGACGATTTCAAAACTACCCTAGGGAGCCCCTGGTTTGTCAGTCTTTTAAAAAGGTACTCTGTGAAATTAAAAGTAACAGTAAGGCTATGGACAGTAGAGTAATCACTTCCTTTGTCCTGGACACTATATTTGTACTAACACCAATCAAGCTGTACCTGTCTGTTGATCAAGATGTCATGACAGGAATTTAAAATTAACTATCATACATAACGTTTGTTTAACAAGCGTTAAAATATTTATGTGTCTAACAATTTCACTACTTCAGAGAGAAAATGTGAATTGCTATTCTGCTGCCCAGTGAAGCACTACAAGTCATTTTATTTTCATCTTTGCCCCCTTTTATTCAAAAGAGCACTTGTTTCATTAATATTGGTTTTACATTCCAGAAAACATATTACTTCAGAAATACATGAAAAATAAAAGCTGTTAACATGGTACAAAATTTTTCTTTAACATTTAGTAAGCTTTTTGAGGGATGAGTCAACTGTCCTTTGAAGCAAAGCACCAAGTATAAGTGTCTTCAGCACTACACAAAGCTGTGACACAGTTGTTGTTGCCTTGGATGTCCCACACATCCAAACACTGTGAAAGTTACAATGGAAAAATGCTATGACATTCTCTAAGGTGACGAATACAAGTGATTTAAGCTTTCTTTTATCAGTTTGATTTTAAGAATTTTAAAAGTTCTTCCAATGTTTCCATCAATCAGTGTAATCAAGCAATATTGTCAATGGCCAAAGACCTCAACTTATTTGGAACCCAAATGGATTTAACATACAGTAACTCACTCCCATCATCCTGGAAAGCATATGGTAGCGATTATAATGTCAAAACACTAAAATGACTTTAAGAAAGCATTATATTGTTTATCTGTAAGGACATTTTATACATACATTATAGACAATTTACTCTAACATTCTAGAATAACTAGTTTCACACAAATTAAAAGAGATAAAATACAAAATGATATGGCATTTTGGGAAATTCCAGAAATCAAAATACTTTTATTGCAGTTAATACCAGCTTTCTATATTTTCATCAAATTTCTTTTGCTTTTGGGAAAAATGCAAATTTCTTTTCCAATGGCAAGATGGGAACCATATTTTAAATGGCAGCAAGTCTTTCCTTCTGGACATGTGTTTTTATTACAAATTATTAACATCTGAAAGAACTAGTAATATCAAGACACAATAATAGCACTATTTTGTCTTCAGGATTATGCTAGTACAATTAAATGAAGCTCTTTAGGTTCCAATTTCTCCTAAGAAAGCATTTCACGAAATGAGCAAAAGAAAACTTTTCAAAATGAGTTATCTCCTGCAACCAGAAAATGCAGCATTTCTTTAATTAACATTTCAAAAAAAAAATCTAATTAAGCATTCACACAGCAAACATTTCTGGCCTCAATTTCCTTGAGGCATAAGCAAGTCACAATGTCCAACTTGGCCTTCTTGTTTTGTTTGATCTAGTAAGTCTTCTTTACGCTTTTTTCTACCAACCACCAAATATCTATCATGCCCCATTCCATGAGATTTACTCTTAAGACCATACTTCTGAGCAATCTGATGTATCTGCTTTCGTTCATCACTGGTAAATTCTGTTGAGAAAACCAAGTCTGTGTGGCTCTCTGAATGGGCATAGTTTTTGATGATCTGGTCAATGTATCTCTTGTAAAGTTTACTTGGTTTCTCCACATCAAGACCCAGACCTTCTCGTTTATGCTGCTCTTTGACTGAGATTGGCTCACAGATGCCCTCACCACATTTCCCTAAACCTCCACCCATCCAGCCCATTTTTCTCAAAAGCTGATTTCCAATATTGTCCTCTTTGATCTCCTGTTGATAACCATCATCTCCTGAGCGCCCCCGAAGTTCATTTCTTGTGATCATGTCTTCAATGGTACCTCTCTTCAGGTTGTTAAAGGCAGTTGGCCTAGTCTTTTTAAGGATTTTGACAACTTCTTCTACAGTCTCATGCTTGACACCCCTCTTTATTCCAACTGCTTCTGTAATTAATTCTTTCTCCAGCATTACCTTACATTTCCATTGAAGGACAGTCAGCTTTTCAAACACATACTCAACAGTTATTTTGTTGAACTGAGTTGTATCATTTAGTGTGCATGCTGGATTTGAGGAATTCCCATAAACTACTCGGTCCCTTAAATCTTTCCTCTTTCCACATTCCTTAGTAGAATAGCTTACTGGTTGAACTTGTGTGGCTGCAATGCTGGATTTCATTTTTTGCAGAATATTCAGTGCCTCATCAGCAGCTGCATATTTACTTGTTTTTTTGCTTCCATAACCTTCAGCTAAGCATTGGCCTTCCAAAAACACTTGACAGCGCCATGAATTATTTGGCATGATATCATATTTGTATTCAATTGACATTCTGTTGAAGGAAGCAGACTTACTAAGGACACCAATAGAATCACTTGCATTTTCTATGAGGACAAAATTATTCCAGCGTTTGGAAAGGGAATAAGCAGAATTGGAGTGTAACTGCCCAAATTCATTCCTGATGGAGAGAAAGTCTTCTGGGACCCTCAGGGCCGGAGGAAAATCATATGAAGATAAGCCAGCTGGAAATACCACTAAGTCATCATGATAAGTGTGTTTGAATTTCCTTTTAACAATTCTAACTTCAACAGGTTTTTGTAAAAGTTTTACAGCCTGCTCTGTAGCTCGATCCCTAGATCCATTCTTGCTACCACCATAACCTGTGGTCAAATAGACACTCTGGCACCTAACTTCACAGGCATAGCCATCAGTCAGGAATTTCTTACTTCTGGGGATATCAGAAGGAGCGATTTCTTTTAAAGAAGCGTATATATACTCAGGATTTGTCTTACAGGCCTGGAAACAACGAGATAATATAAATGTATAGCTACTTTTCTCAGATCTATGAGACATCTCTTTCTTAGGAAGGTTTCTCTGGACAGCTCCAGAAAGTCTTTCAATAAAACTTTGCTTTGTAGCTAAAATTAAGTGTGGAAATGTTGCTGCAGAAGAAGATTCAGCAACTGACTGAGAACTTGAGCTATTTGTGGCAGGGTCCCCACAGTTTGTGAATGTTCTGCTTGTTGTAGGTTTCCTCTCTACAAAAGAAAACCGAGTTTGAGAAAATAGAGTCTTTCCAAATCTGGCACGGAATCTGTCCCGTACATAACTTTTGAGACTGTCTACTGGCCATTTGATAGAGTCAACTTGTGGATCTCCCCATTCATTTCCCGAGTCTGTGGGATCTTTCTTTCTCTCCTCTTCCTTACTACTAGCAACAAAATGTACAGGCTCAAACCGAGGTCTCATCAGGAATCTAGGGAGTGCTTTCTTTTTGGGAGGGCTCGGGACAGCATGTGGAGAGAGGGGCCGCTTCTGCACTTTAGGGGGCTGGGGCACCACCAATTTGAAGGAAGGCATCTCCCCGATTTGGATGCCTTCCGCCATCTGTAGGATTTTCTCCATCAACTGTGGGCCATACTTACAGCCCAGGAAGATGTGGTTCGTCCAGGCGGTAGATAGGGACAGCAGCTTTTCAATCGCCCCAGGGCCGGTGTAGCTATGCAGGTGCCGGCAGATGAATTCGCGCCTCAGCCCCCACTGCCGGTCGCTCTCGTGGCTGTAGCGCCATTGAGCCAAAGACTCCTCAAGCTTCTGCTCCGGGTCGGGCTCGGGCTCCGGCTGCGGCTCGGGCTCGGGTTCGAGCTCTGGCAGCGGTGGAGAAGGAGACGGAGGCAGCGGCGGCGGTGGGGAGGGTATTGGCGGCGGCTGCAGCGGTAGCGGCGGAGGCAGCGGCGGAGGCGTTGGCGGAGACAGGAAGTCATCCCCCAGTAACAGGCGCTCGCCCGCCATCATCGCCTCCTTCTCCGCCCCAGGGAGGAGCTGCACAGGGCCGCCCCCACGGCTGGTCAGATGGTCAGACGTGGCGTGGGGCGGGCTGCCGGCCGGGGGCGGGGCCTGCACAGACCCACCTCCTTCCCCCCCCCAGAAACTGTTAAGTCACCCTGGGCCTGCTTCCATGTCCGGCCGGCCAGCGCTGCACCACCGCTCCCGGCTGGGCAGACAAGGGCGAAGAGGAGTGGGCCGCGCCTGGGGGGGCATGGCCCAGCCGCGCTGCAGCTGCCACGCCACGCCACGCCAGAGCCGGCGAGCGAAGCGCGTCACTACGGCGGCGCGGCGGCGGCGGCGGCAGTGGCGGCGGCGGCGTATCCGGGCGGGCGAATCAGGGTCCAAAAAGGGGTCCGCTACGGCTGCGGCGGCCGCTGCCGTGGTCACTCCAGAGCCAGAGAGCCTGCCCCGCCCACCTCCTGGGGAGGGGGGGGCGCGCGCAGCCCAATGGCCGCCCCACCCCCTCTGCGGACCTCCCTCCAGGCTGCAGACTCCAGCGGCCACCTCACCTCCGGGGATGGGAAAGGGGTGGGGGTAGGAATGAGGGTAGGAGATGGCAGTGGGGGTGGGGATCAGCAAGGGGCTGGGGATGACGATGGGCTGGGGGTAGCCGTGAGAGTGGCCTGTCACCAGCTCCCCCTCCCTCCAGCAGACCTGTCCCGGGGCCGCAAAGGCACATTTAGGGCCCGTGTCCCCTCCCAAAGCAATCCTAGAAGAGACAGGAGCTTTTCTCCAAAGCCCCTTCAAAGTCCTCCATCATTTTTGCATGGGTGCCCCGACCACTTTGGATACGTTTCCTTGTGGCACCGCCTCTAGCAATGGCAGAAACAGAGTCTTCCCTCCCAGAACTTGCCTTTCCCGGGAAAAGGCAGTGGGGATTACCCCGCTTTGGCCCACTGTCCTTCAGCAGGGCAGAAGGGGCTCAGGGGGCTCCCTGCCTACCCCTGCTCCCGGGCTGGCCTGAGGCCCTGAAGAAAAGTAAAGCAGCTAGAGTCAACAATTTGCTAGGTAGCTGCCCTGCCCTCTCCCCACCCTCTAATCTCTCTCAGCTTCCCACCTCCCAAAGGCAGGAGGCTCCTTCCCAATACTTAATGAAATCCACAATCCAGACGCCTTCTTCCACACTTCCAAATCACTTTCGCCTTTCTCATGCACACAAGAATGGCCCCTTCTTGCCTTTTTGGGATGAGCTCTAAGCACAATGAAACCTTTTGGGGACGAGCTCTAAGCTCAGAAGGGATGCTGATGACGGTGGCCATACAATGTTGAAATCACTGGGTTTGGAACCTGAAGTCCCGTGTTCAAATCCTCACTCAGTCCTTTACCAGCTGAGGATGAGGCACTTCCCCACCTATCTGGCCTTCATCTGTAAAGTGCAGAGGGGAGGGGAGGGAGAAGACTAGATTAGAACCTCTAAAGTCCATTCCACTTCTAAATCTAAGATTTTACAAGCAGAGTTAGGGTAACCAGACGTCAGGTCCTTAGTAGAATAGTTTACTGGTTTAACTTGTGTGTCTGCAATGTTGGATTTCATTTTTTGCAGAATATTAAGTGCCTTATCAGCAGCTGCATATATACTTTTTAAAAATTTGTTTCCATAACCTTAGTTAAGCTTTGGCCTTCCAAAAAACACCTGACAGCACCATTAATTACTTGACGTATCATATTTGTATTCAAGTGACATTCTGTTGAAGGGGGTAGATTTATTAAGGCCACCAATAGAATAATTTTCTATCAGAACAAAATTATTCCAGCAGAATTGGATTTTAACTGTCCAAATTCATTCCTGATTGGAGAGAAAGTCTGTGTAACTTGGGCCAGTCACTATCCTGAGTCAAGGGAAAGCGAATTCACATTTTCAAATGGGAAAAAAAAAATGTGCCTGGAAGACCTCAAAACCTTCCCTTTAGGAAAGCAGGCTATTACCAGTCCCACTGGATGACCTGCCCCAGGCAGGCAATCAATAAGCATTACAGACAGGATTCTACAGACAGATAGGTAGGGTGCTGTACTGTATAGTCTGGACATTTAAAAAGGAGAGGTGGGGAAGTAGGGGTGTCAGGCAAACATGACTAATTTCCTAGAGCTGGAGAAGTCTTCATATTCCAAGCTGAAAGACATCCTGCCCCATTTCAGGAATATCAGTGTAATTTGGTCACTTTCTCCCAAGTAATATCCATGATCTTATCCCCTTCTACCAAGGCACCCCTCTGCATTTTACCCAGGGCTTTCTCCAATCTCTCCCTCATTCTGTTCCTCATTTCACAAAAGGGCTGAGCTTTTATCACCAACACTCAAATACTTAAATTGAAAGAACATTTCCTTGGCAAATACTAGGTATGTGAAGAATCACAGAGGTTTTCACTTCTATTACCTGACACCACAAATTGTCATTATTCTTAAATGAGGGCACAAGGTGGCCCACCACTCTTAGGCTGTAAGGCCCAAATAAAGCAACATCTCTCAGAAGAGTTGGTGTCTTTTAAAACCCCAAACTAGAACATTCTCCAATCTGGTATCAGCAAACCCCAAACTAGAACATTCTCCAATTTGGTATCAGCAGACCGGCTCAGATAAAGAAGAAAAAGGTCAAACACCACCCTGGGATCTCATTTTTAATAAGATTTGAGGAAGTTGCCATCCCAACTTCTGTGTTGACACATGAAAGGCATCATTAAGGGGGTATTTTAAGTCTAGAAAGCAAGGTGCCATATAAAGCCCTATTAGCCTAAAGCCACTGTTTTCAAAGAAGCCCCCTGGAAGGAGGGGAAGGAAGGAAAAATAGGAATTTTGCTTTTGCAAGACTTCAGCAACCCAATCAATCAACATGCATTTATTAAGCACTTAGTACCAGGCACTGTCCATAGGTGCAAAAAATACAAAGGAAAAAAAGGCTCTGTCCTTAAAGAATTTATAATCTAGCCATGGAAGACATGTCCACATAGGTAGATAATAAATAATGTGGCCCCTTCCTAAAATGAGGGATATCCCTTCCCTTTCCTAAAGGGAAATTCCTTCTCTCTCTTCTCTCTATTTCTCTCTCCCCTCTTCTCTCTCCCTCTTTCCCCCCTCTCTCTCTCCTTCTCTCCCTCCCTCCCGATCTCAGTCTCCATTTTCCCTCTCCCTCCTTCCTGCTCTTCTCCTTTTCTGTTCCTCTCTCTCTCTTTCCCTCTCCCATCTCGCTCTCTCTCCCTTTCTCTTTCTCTCTTTCTCACTCTCCCTCCCTCCCTCCTTCTCTCACATACACACACTGAAATAGCATCCTGCTATTCAAACTACAACAACCTGAAATTGTCTCTCTCAGCTTGTGCTAGTTCCCATTCTCTATTAAGTACCTTGTTCAACTGCTTCCAGCCCCACCTTTCTCCCAAGTAATAGGAAACAAAGTCTCAGGTAGGTTCCAGCTTCTAAAACACTTCTTCCTTTCCTCCCCCACACCCTTCCTAGAGGGCCTATAGGCTCAGTGAAGTCAGAGATTAAAGGAAAGAGAAGCCCTCCAGGTACTGGTGAAGTGCCTGGGTGGGTTACTGGAGTTTGTCTCTCCTGCTTTGGTTCAGTACTGCCATCAAATAGAGTTTGACAAGCTCCCTGTATTACTACCTTCGTTCTGGACGCCATACTTCTCTGAAAACAGCCTAAGATCCACTTAGCACTGCTGACTTAGATTAAGTTGTAGTCAAATAAATCCTCTAAGTCTCTCTTGCACATGAACTACTGTCAAGCCAGCTCTCAAGACCTCCACCCTATTCTTTACACTTTTGATTTTTTTTTAACTTGTGTGCAAAAACTGACATTTCTTTCTATTAACATAGGCTTGTCTTCTTCGCTTGTAATTTCTGCCCGTCAAGTGTTTTTGGTTCCCGATTCTGATTTTTCACTCGTTGTTTTATGTCTTCCAAAAAACTTAAAAGTATACCATCTATATGCTTATCAAAAACATTGACAAAAATACTAAACAGGACAGCAGATCAAGTTCAGAACCCTTTATAACTTCATCAGAAATCTCTCTCCAGGTTAATATTAATTAGTACTCTTTACAGGAGAGCATTCAACTAACTAAAAATCCATTTCTCTATTTGTCTACAGACTAACAGAATGGCATTATAGCAAACAGCTTACTAAAATCTCGACAATTTATATGTTCAGGGCATTTCCCTGATCTGGTAACCCTAGTAAAACAGAAAATGAAGTTAATTTTTCATGACCTATTTTTTTGAAGAGTTATGCTAACTCCTACTTCATTCAATTCCATAAACAATTAAGTACTTTCTAGGGTCAGAACACCGTGATGGGCTCTGGAGGAAAGCCAAATGATTAAGACACTGTCTCAGTTGCTCATGAATCTGACAGTTCAGTACAGGAGATAGGATCCACACATAAATACATGTAATACAAAAAGAAATAGGAATTGGGCTGGGATCTAAACTGGGTTGCTTTTCTCAAACGCACTTGTGTTCATCACTAACAACTTATCTTCCTTTCTAAGTGCTCACAAACTGTTTAAGGCATGCTAGGTAGGCTCCCTGGTTTATAGTTTCCAGAGTCTACCTTCTTCACCATTTTTAAGTAAATTGAGACATTTGCCAACCTTCAGGCACCTCTTCTCCTTTTCTCCACAATTTCCTCAATGACCAATGATGATTCAGCAATTATATCTGCAGCTCTTTCAATATCTAAGCATATAACTTCTGTAGGACAGGAGATCTAAGTTTCTTAAAATTATCTATAGTAGGTGTTCTGTCTCCCTATTTTATGGACAAAAATATTTTTTAAGTATGTTTATTCTAATGCCTTCAATTTGAAGATTATTCTTTTTCATAGAGAAACACAGAAGCAATTAAGCATCTAGTAGTTTTGTTTTCACAACTGCTTCTTACTTAAGCAAGGAACCTATTCCTTTCAGGGCCTTCTTGCTACAACATTATCTAAAAGCTGTTTTAATTCTTATCATTTTTCATGTGCCCCATTCTGAGATTTAGTATTCCTAAAACTGTTTTTACTGGGTCTATGCTACTCTAATGTTTTCATCCTTAAGTATATGCCCCTATCAACCACCTTCTGCATATGTTCTTTTAATATTAAGCTAAGTGAAGACCTCCTTGTGTATCCACATCAGTCTTTTTACCGGTTTCTCCGTCTTCTTCATCAGGTTCATATGAAAATATGTTCCCAGTATTTTGGTTTTTGAAACTAACTGTTTGTCTTAAACCATTCCCCACCCCCCACCAGCACCATGGGATCACAGAGTAACAGAGTTGCAAAGGACTGAAGAGCCCACTGT